CGTCGCCAAGAAACCTCCCACCGTAAGGACAAGAAGGACGCACGCGAGAACATGGTAAACTTCAAGAACCGCGTCCTGGACCTACTAGAGATCTTCGTGAAGAAGAGCCACACCCGCCCGCTCGCGCTCGATATCCTGCTGCCGTTGCTCCGACTATCTCGCCGGACCAGCGTAAAGCAGATCGCCACCAAGGCCAACGGAGTGCTGCGCGAGTACACGAAGGTGTGCAAGGGCAATTCGCTCCCGAAGGTCGAGGACGACGCACAGGCGGAGGCGCTCTGGGAGTTGCTCCGGTCTGTTCACAAGGAGGCTAGTCACAGTGGACCTATGGGCCATGCGACTGCTTGCAGCCAGGCCAGTTTGCTTGTTACCAAGGTGCTGGTTGCACATGATAAGGATGCCATTGCGGGTGTTGTGGATGTTTATGCTGCTACTCGTAAGGATCAGCTCATGAGCACTAAGTGTCATGTACAGCCGTCGTTCTTTTCAGAGTGGAACAACTGGTGTGTTTCTGCGAGCAAGCAGTTGAAGTGAGGTTGGTTTCTTTTGTATAGAGATTGCGAGTATGATCTGTCGCTAGTTTTCAATATCAAATGTCATTATCATGTTTATTCAACGGTTATATACAGTCCACTGTCATATCTAGTACCCCCTCTCCCCGCTTTTTGGATCAGGAACTATCCTTGTATTTGTGTATCAACTAGAAATAAGCTTGGGAAAGGTGCATTCAATTTTAGACAAGGGCATCCATGGATATATATTCCAAGCCATATCACAAAGGGTGGGAAATAAGAAGATATTCTATGTCTTCCTACAACAATGCCCCATTCTATAGCTATACAACAGCATAAGATCACGACAAATCATTGAAAACTTCTCTAAAAGCCAGTAATGTACCGATGCTTAGTCGTCTCCTCCAAAACCTCCAACTTCATCCCAACCTCAATAGCTCCCTCATTACGCGGCGCACTCAACATCCCGAAACAAGGCTTGTACTTAATCCCCTCATCAACCCTACGGTACGAAACAAGCGTATCCCACGGCTGCTTCTTATTTTTGAGCGCCGTATCTGGATCAACATTAGGCACCTGGCAGCGCGCACAGCGAGCCACAATATCCAGATCAAGCGGAGACTGAATAACAGCCTTCCCATCACCAGCAGTATCGCTAGAAATACCGCTAGCCTTCCGACCGGTGATACGAACCAACTTCCACGAATCCTCACTCCACGGCGCACCTCCGCGAACAACGATATTCGGACGGAACCGCTCGACAGTAATCGGGTCCACACCCACCTTTCCCAGACGAACATTAAGCTCTGCCAGCGAAGATTCTGATGCAATCAATACCGGGTGCACGTCAGGAAAGCCGGTTGTCTGGACGCGGCCCAGACGGCGGGGAGCGCCGTTACCCTTCAGCACGCGCGGGGTCGGGCCCTTGTAAACAAGGGCGACGTCGCGGCGCAGGAAGGCGGAGAAGGGGGCATTTATTTCATCGCTGTACCTGTACCCGTCTGTCTCCGTGTCCCAGATGTGGACGGGGCCTAGGTTTGTATTTTCCGCTAGCCATTGCGGAGATGGATGCGAAGGGATGCGGATTGTGTGGAATTGATGGTCTTGGTCTTTGTCTTGGCTGGATTCATTGGTTTCGGGGATTGGAATACTCACGACCAACTCGTCACCCTCGGCACTTAGGGCGGTGCGGATGCAGGTCATATCGGGGATTTGGCGGATGGTTAGGAAGGTATTTGAGGACGTGTCGATGAGCATCCAGCGGCGGTCGAGGTCAAGCCCGTGCTGTTTTAGGACTGTTGATTGGACTTCTAGGCCTCGACAAGATTTTATAGGGTACATGCGCAACGAGATGATCTCGCTGGATTGTTTGGGGCGCTGGGGCCATAGGCGGAGAAGTTTGGTTGGCGATTGAACTGATTTGGGCCATCCTGTGAAGCGGGGAATCAGGAGGATTGGAATTAGGAGTACGAGGCCTAATATTACAGCTGACGCCATGTTGTGCGACTGAAGCATGTTTGCTGTTTGGGAAGGTGTTAGGGTTATACAGGCCACCGAGGTGAAAAGTTGGTTTTGCCAAAGGGTGCCGCCTTTATAAGAGGTTATGACCTTATATTTCGAGGTGCTCAGATTAGGGAAATGTGACACTTTCATTTTGCTATTATAGTACTTTGTTGATATACTGTGTCTTGTCCTGTTATTCTACATATTGTGGCTGCTTTAGGTCCAATAGTAGAAGGACTCAGAGGTATGAATTAGAAACATGGTGCCAGGGAAATACCATAGGCAAACACCGTGTGCGTATAACATATGCAAAAACCAAAGGGAAAGGAACTAGAAATGAATACAAGACCGAGAAAAGCAACCCTTTGAGCCAAATACCGGATTAAAAAAAAAAAAAAAAAAAAAGCAACATGTACCTAGGTGGACCACCTGAAGGGGTATATGTCAAAGATAAAGTTGATTGCGATGCGATCTGGTTATGCCGAATGCTTCTTATCAAGCCAACATGCGACCATTGCCTTAATTAGGGCGAGTGTGACAACTCTGCCTTGCTCAATATTCGCATCCTCAGATGCCCCAGGGACATGAAGGAACAGGACATTGCGGTCCTGGCCCTGTAATTGGGCCAAAGACATGCTGGTATAGAAAATGAAGTCGCACAGGTAGTGACCTGCGTCCTGGGAGATCCGGAGATCTGACTCGGGAGCAAACGAACGCCACGTCTCCAGGAACTGGTCGTCGGGTTGGTAGGGCGAAGCAGAGGAGGGATCATCTGTAACACGACCTGGGATCAGAATCGGCGGCAGACCCAACCCTTTCCATTGCTTCTCGCCGTCCACATAGCCGGGGCGACCGTTAACATCGGTGATGTTATAGTCATCTCGGTGGGCTAAACTTTCGACGGAGTAATATTGCCGCGGAGCTGCGATGCCGATATGAATAATGAGATCAGGTCTACGACCACCATGAGAGGAAGCAAACTCCTCCAGAATTAAGGGAAGAGCCTCTCGAACAGTGGCATATGCTACTGGGATCGGAGTGGGATGCACATGAAGTGAGACTCGACGCGGCTCCGAATCGTGGTCGTTAGGCGACGGGAAAAGGAAAGACGATGGAAGTGAAGAAGCGATCAGATATGACGCATTCACAAGGTTGGTCTTGAAGGGCTAGTTACACTGTTAGTTTCGGGTCGGATGCTAGCAGTATCAGAAGTGCAGATCACTTACCCCAAAGCCTGTTATTAGGACCGATATTTCATTGGGCGAGGCCAAGGGCTGTGGCGGGTTGTTGCCCACAGGGGTGGAGAGTATATATGGAGTAGCAGTGCCGGAGTCCCCCATATTCACGGTTATTCTTGAGGTGAAGTTAAGAAGAAGATGACTTTTAAGCGGGGGAAGTCAACCCTGGAAGGCACCGAGACAAATGCGGGGTCTTGGCGGAATGCAACCCATGGATCTTACTAGCCTAATTCCGTTAAGCTATATAAGTGGCGACCAGTGAAAGACTTCATATTTTAGGCTTATGTATCATATGTAGTAGGTTGTTAGGTTGTTAGCTCTTTGTTGGTGCTATTTGATAGGTCTTCATCCGCTCTCCAAAGGTAAATTTTCTTCTAGTGCTGGGTCACCGAGACTTTCTTATTCTTGTACCACGGTGTACAGAGCTGGTTTCCCCTCTAATGATTCTACCGTTCAACTTGCAAGATTTGCAGCTCTCTATTATCATTGGGACGCTTATAGATTGGAAAACATCTGCATATGCAAGTGAATCCAGGCGGAATAGAAACCCGTTCAAGAATTGCCTGTTCGGGTAAGGATCGCTTAATTTGGCTCTCGTTCTCGCATTTCAGGCTAGGTATACATCGATGTAGGCCAAGAATGTTATTTCTCGGAGCTTTGAGATTCTGGTGAAAGGAGTTGGTCGCTTAGAATTTATTGGACCTGTAACTTTCCAACGCTTGGCTTTGGCTCGGTTCGGTTGAACTTGACAGCATTTGATACTTACGTGGGCCCCCCTGGTTTGAATATCCAGTCCAAGGCCGGTTGGGGGAAAAATGGAGTCTTCCTGACTGGCTGATGGCTCGGTAACTATTATAAATGAGAAGGTCCTCGGAGAATATCAGTTCTTAGAAATCTGGGGTGTCACTTCTATTGTCCCTCCTCCCTCCCTTTCCAGTCTTGACCTTGACTATGGCAGTCATCACTGAATTTCTCAACAGCCCCTATATTGTACAGAGTATGTGCATTGCCCTAGTGGTGGTGCTCATAACAAGTGTTTGGGCAGACATAGCAAACGGGATCCCCCATAGACATATTCCTTTGGTTGGAAAGACCTGGTGGGAGCTTACCAACAAAAAGGCCCGGCAACGCTTCACTCGGTCATGTCGTCAATTAATTGCCGAAGGCTTTGCAAAAGTGAGTCTTAATGTAGATAGATCACAGAATTCTCTGCTCTCAAATATGCTAACAGACCTTGGTAGGGAGTCAATGTCTTTCAAATCATCGGAGCCACAAGCCCGATAGTTGTATTGCACCCGAAGTTTGTCGATGAAATCAAGAGCAACCCAGATCTGAGCTTTGATGACTCGATCAAAAAGGCAGGTCATAGATCGGAAATAACCGGTGACCACGGCTAACTTGCCAATAGACATTTTTTGATGATCGCATTCCTGGGTTTGAACCATTTCATAATGGCACTGCGTTGAAGGCTACTGTGGAGATCGTGCGGACTAGTTTGACCCAGGCGCTTGGTATGGAGGTCTTTATATATTTCACCCGAGTGATATAATTGACGTATCTTTCCCATTCAAACAGGATCCATTTCACTTCGGCTTTCAAAGGAGTCAAGCGCGATATTAAAGGAACACTTGCCCCCCACCGATGGTATTCTAAAGCACACCCCATTTGCATTGAACCCTCTCACTAACGCTTCCTCTCTTGGTGCCTAGAATGGAAACCCCACCACCTCGCGCATAAGATCCCGTACATGGTAGCCCGCCTCTCCTCTTTGATATTTGTCGGAGAGACCATCTCCCACGATGATGAGTGGATTGATGTTTCCGTGAACTATGCCATCGATGCTTTTGTGGCTATGCGAGATCTACGAGAATGGCCATCCATTCTACATCCAGTTGTACACTGGTTCCTGCCTTCTACTCAAAAGCTACGCACGCACTTGGAAATGGCTCGCTCCATAATTAGCCGCGAGATAGACAGGCGGGCGTTGATTCGTGCGGGCAAGCTCCCCGCAGATGATCTATCTCGTGGTCCTGATGCTATGGACTGGTATCGTGAGACCGCCGAAGCCCAGAATAACTTGACATTTGATCAGTCTTGTGCTCAGGTTGGATTGGCGCTGGCAGCCATTCATACCACGTCGAACTTGTTGACCAACGTCATGTATGACCTCGCGGCATATCCGGAGTATATCCAGCCGCTGCGTGATGAGATTTGTGCGGTTGCTGCCGAGGATGGAGTTCTGAAGAAGACTAGTTTGCTCAAGCTGAAGTTGATGGACAGTGTGATGAAGGAATCGCAGCGTATTAATCCACTCTCATTGAGTAAGTCATCCGCCTTCCTTCCTTCACTTTTCTTTTCGTGAAAGTATAGCTTGTTGACACTCCACAACAGCCTCCATGAACCGGCTCGCACTCAAGCAAATTGTGCTCTCCGATGGAACTGTAATTCCCAAGGGTGCCAATATGTTTGTCTCTACAAAAATATTGGAAGATGACAGTATTTACCCTAATGCTGCTACGTATGACGGTTACCGGTTTTACAACAAACGCCTGCAGCCTGGCAATGAACACAAGCATCAGTTCGTCGCGACGACAAGCGAGCACTTTGTCTTCGGTCATGGTGTTCACGCCTGCCCTGGCCGGTTCTTCGCTGCCAATGAAACAAAGATCATGCTTCTTCATTTGCTTCTGAAGTACGATTGGAAACTGCAGAGCGGCGGTCGACCTCCAAACATTGAAAACGGTGTCGAGTCTATCACCGACCCACGGATTCAGATTCTGTTCCAATCGCGTGAGTCGGAGGTTGACCTAGGCTTCCTAGGAGAATAGGGGATGGATCTAAGCAGCACCTTTCCCCCCACTTTTTGTTCTATACATATTGGACATCGCTAGGTTTTGTCTATTTCAACCATGGAAATGATGTCACTTACAAGCTGGGGGACAAGTTGGATTTTATCGAGTGACCTATTTGAATACGATCGAGTCATTTGAAAAAGACTAAGTCCAAGTCTTCGAGGTACATACTTTGTACTCCGTAGGTACAACATTAGGCTCGATTCCTCGAAAGTGGAGTTGATTGGCATCTGGCCCACAGTTCTGCGGGTATACTGTGGCTATTCATTGTAAGCGAGATGAGAGCTTACTATGTACTCTGCAAATCTGTTGAGAATGGATATCTGAAGAGAGTTCATGGAAAACCATCGATTTCAATGCAGAATATCCAACTGTGCATAGGTCACACATATACTCCGTAGTAATCGGATGATCGGATGTTTGTATAAAGGAAGTCAGGTCGCTTTTAGGGTTTGAATGGAAACACATCACGTGACCAGTAACTATACAGTAACTATACGGTAATTTTTGTAATTTTTCAACACGTGTCTTGGACGCGTCGCGCGTCGGTGGAGAAAGATGAACGTGAAGCTTCTCCAACCGCGCCTCCACCCGTCCCAATGGGGTTATATTGGTTTGGCCTTGTCTCGTTGGGTAGCTCGGGCTCCAGGGATCCAGAGATCCAGACCGCACAATGAGAAAATGTGACCGCTGATCTACGGTACACCCAGGTACCCGTACCAAGCTGGTTTTCCCGGGTTTCTTTGGACGCAACAAACCAATTCACTATGAAAGGACTTTTTACTTTTCGAGGCCCGAGCCACTCCAAATCTGATTGGAAGTTTGATAAAAAAGGGAAAAAAAAAGGAAAAATGAGCTGAAGAATATCAGTGCAGATAACCATCAGCTGCACTTCTCTACGCAGGCTGGCCGTTCTCCGTTCTGTTCTGTACAAGCCCTTGCAGCTATGGAGGTGAACGGCTGGAGACAATGTCTTGAAGATGGAGAACCGATCTACCATACGGAGTACTCCGAGTACTCCGTACATGGTACCTGATCCCAAACACCAGCCCCCTCATTTATAAGGTCTACAAGACACATATGGAGTACGAAGCACAGCTTACTCTGTACAGCTTACGGAGTACACAGTACATTAATACCTTCAAACCATAGAGTCAAAAACAGCACTGATGATTTGCTCAAGCTGTCCTTACCTCCCAAGGTGGTTCTTCTTCAAAACCCTGTGATTAAAATTATTTGTCCACTGTGCATGCATTAAGCAAGGCCCAGAGATGTGTCCACAGTCATTCTATATAGGCAAGACTCGAGAAAATCTAAACAAAAACAACAAGAAGAAAATGAGAATTCAATTGACTATACTTCGTACAAAGTAATATTTGATTTTTTCAAGTAACAACGCATAAGATTTTCACAGTGGGCCATTGAAGAAGAGGAATTCGAGTCCAAGAAGTACCGGGTACCAAGTTCAGTAGGCAGTTCACCACGGGGACTACAGGTACCAGGTACTCCCCACCACTCCCGCCTCACCCTACGCCCAATCCTCCCCCATCATTCTCCTTCTTCTCTCTCTTCTCTCTCTCTACCAACCCTTTTTTCCATTATCGCGAGATATTTTCTCGCACCCTTCTCCCGTTTGAGGAGACCTGCTTTTCTTTTGTGTGTTATTTTTTTTTCCGGGTAATGACGAAATCCTTCATTCCCTAACTACTCGGGATGGAGCCGCAGATGTGATCTGGTGATCCCCGATTTCAAGTCGCCGCATTCCTCAGGAAGCACATCACGCACACCGAGACCTCGGTTTTTTTTTTTGCCCTTCTATTTTCACATACTCCTGCATCTCTTGCTGCATTTTTCTTTTTTTTCTCTTCACGATTCACGACATTGACGCGACGCTGCGCGCTTCGACTCGAAGTCGCGCGCCGTACTCATCTACTCTCTCAACTCCGACACGTCCTCGAGTTCCTCCTAGAAGTCGCATTGACCCACATTCTGCGGTTCGCAAAACCGCAAGATTGCCAATATGGCTCAACGTCAACTTTCGCGTACTCTCCCGAAGAACTTTACCTTCTCCCTCGGCGACAATGAACCCAAGACCCCCGAGCGGCCTCGCACCACTATGAATGTACCTCCACCACCTCGTCACTCAATCTCTAGCGGCCGTCTACCTAGAGTTCGGGCTCGTGCTGGTACCAATGTCTGCGCTCGCATGGACATGGATATGTTCCAATTCCACGGCTCCGATGTTCCCCTGCCTTCCATTGAAGTACCCCAATCGACTACCGACTTCGAGGCGCCTTCATTCCGTGATTTCGCCAACGATGAGGGATATCTTGCGCCCCCTCGCGCGCGAATGGATTTTAAGACGCCACCAGCGCAGATCTGCGGCACGTCTTTCGATTCTTGCGACACTGGAAACCCGTGGCCATCGTGGGACCAGACACCCGGCCCAAACAACATCAAGCGCCCAGACTCCGTTTGCTCGACTTTGTCAAATTCTTCAATTGAATCAATTGAAACGTTCGCATCGCGACCATCTGTAGGAAGTTTCACCAGTGTCGAGAGCGATTTGTTTGACTCGTACTTTCCTTTGGAAATGTCCAAAGAACCTGAGATTGAGTCGCCTTCGCGACCTCAGAAGCAGTCGGTCAATATCAAAGTGTCCAAGAAGTCCTGGACTCGTGAGATGGATACCCACTTATGGAATACCTATCAAATTTACCTTCAGGACCCTACTATGACTCCATTCAAGATGACCCCTGGCAGTATTCCCCCTTTGGGAGTCACCTCGCGTGTTGCGCGACGCGCCAAAAAGACATGGTGGCAAAAGAGCAGTCGCATCGTTGAATCTGTCTCGATGAAGTCTGTTGATCCCATTGAAATTTCTACACCCAAGGCTATGGAAGAAGAGTCGCAACCGGCCTGGCCCAAGTCTGACTCCAAGACTCGACGACGTCTCAAGATGCTATGTCGACGTAAATTCTCAATCTCTCCCCACTATCAGCGCATCATGCAGTCTCGCACCCCCGAGCCTGTCACGGAGATGTTCGGTCCTCCTACCGACACCCGCGTTAAAGACTTCGCCGATAACTCGGCCTACACTACTCGTGACCTCGGCGTTTCTCTTGTCACCTCCTCCGAACCGACTCCACTTTCTCAGGTTACACAAGACTTGCCGTTGACCACGGACTGGTTTAACAATCCCGTGCCTGCTCATGTCGAGCCACCAGTGGCCAAGACTCCTAGCCAGCATCTTCGTGTGGAATCTGCTCCTAGCATCCCCCGTTTGGGGTCTCCATTCGTGTACAGCACTTGGGGCCCCGGTGGAGCAAACCGCCAGGTCCATGATCCTAATACTCGACGTGGGACCGTCCATGCGCCGGGTTATCGTGCCCGACGCAACACATACTTCGATCGGTCTTTGCCCGATACCGACGATGTATTCGCGAGCGTTTCCAGGGAGCAGAAGAATCCTTCCGACCAAGAAGTGGAACGTCGCTTGGAGGACTATGTTCGTGACAACAAGTTCCAAGACATGGGCCATGGTCGGGTCCGCATTCGCAATCGTGGAGCTACCACTAGCGCTGTCAATCCCAGAGATATGGACCAGTTGTTCTCTCCCCCCTCATCCCTCAATTCAGGTCCACTTGAGCCCGAGGACACCACACCTATTCTGAAACCCCCTATGAATCCATTGTTGGACCTTGGTGACAACATTAAACGCCTCGGCTCACCTTTCCGGGTCGAAGGAGGACACAAGCGTCGCGAAGCTCCGAAGCGACTCATTCGACAGGCACCTGCACTATCTGATCCATTCTCGAGCGCTGGCCCTTCATATGTCGGACCTGACGACAACACTTCTCCCATGCAGGTTTCTCCGGCTCAAGTACATGATAAAGCTCCGGGTACTTTGCCATACAATGCCTCTGAGGACGGCCTTTCTGATGCCGAGCGCATCCGCCGGCAAATATTGAATATGCCTTTCACGCGCAACTAAGTTGCAGCCTTCTTTTTTTGCTGTCGAATTTCCAAGTATCCGTTTCATCGTGGCGTCGATTTCTTTGCGAGATTTTATCCCCTTTGCATTATGACTTGAACGAGATACCGACAGGGCCCTGATACGACCCTTGCATTTCCAGCCTTTTTACGACAGCAACACCATCCACGACTGTAACGATACGTTTGAACGTTTTCTTCACGCTCAACCTTCAAAATCGCAACACTGAACCCCTTAACGACCAAAAAGAACAAACCAAAAAAAAAAAAACCAAAAAAAACAGTGATGGGTCTTTCCACTTTCCATTCGGTCGAAACCCGCACACAGTACATGGACATCTGGCTGTTGGTTACCTGCCTACGAACATTCACCTCGTTGGTCTTGTAACAACAGTCACCTTATGTGTGTGGCTATGTTTCGTACTTTTTTACTCGGTGAAATCAGCACTGTTTCATCATTCATTCATTCACAACCTCATTTCCTTTTCTTCCAACGGGGCTTTAACCTCGAACAAAATAAGTCAAAAGCCCAAAAAAAGTTCAAAACACCCTGAAACCCCATATTTGCTGTCAGCAATCAGCAACCATTCGCTATTTATGCGACCCACGCTCCTTACATATTTTCTTTTATCTTCTTTTCTCAGACTTTGTCTAGTCATTCATCCCCTGCATCCCATACATGGTGCAACATACCTTTCCCACCATGTCATACTGGAGATGCGACTCGACTTGATAATGGTCGCCTTTCGAATTACCCGTCACACATGGAAACGACTCCCTGCCTCTATGTTGACCCTTGTCAGTCGACATAGATGGCAACGCACCCCCCCCTCAAAAGCGAATGTGCAACGATACATATGCAAGTACATAGACGAACTGAAACGAAACGAACGCGCATGAATATTGCAGTTGACCAACGACATCCCTGATACGCAAGCGAGGTGTTTGGTTTTCTTTTGCCAGCGATCCCCATTTCTTCTTAA